GCACAAATATTTTTTAATTATAAAATATCTTACATTTTAAATATGATAATTTTAATTTTAATTTTTGTCTAAATGCGACATAAAATGACTAAATTTGTGAATTAAAGTAAATATGAGATGATTACATGACTTATTTGGTTAAAACGTTAATAACTTTCTTTATAGCCATGATTTGTTTTACTATTTTCTAATCACTTATTTTATATATATGGTTAACAATTTAAAATAATTTGTAGTTTTTGTTCAACAAATTTATATTAGTTTGTTACGTAAATTAATTTAATCACTTAATCAAATTTCATGAAGTTAAAAATATAATACTAAAATCATAGTTTTTTAAATTTTAAATTATTTTATAAATATTCGAAATATATTTTGATTAATACATTCTTGGATTTTGAAAGATCCTTGATTTTTAACATAGTATATAGATATATAATGGGAGCATAGTAAATTTGGTGCAAATTTCTATTGGGGTAAAAACTTTATAAGCATAATAAATGAAAAAAAAAAAGTCACTCGTGCATTCCTATGCTGCTATATGTCCTCTAAATTTTATTTTTCATTTATTTTTCTGTTTATGTCTACGTAATTTACTAACCTCCCCTATAATTTATTGTATCCTATCTACTCACAACAATTCTCACAAAATATTTATAGTGGTTGATATTCAAGTATTATTATTCTTATTATTAAAAAAGATATTTATGGTATCTATACAAATAATGTTTTTATTTTTAACCCAAAAACATGAAAATAAAATCTTTTTATATTATATTTCACTACAACAAGTAATCTACATAAAAGTATAAATGAAAATTGACCAATCAAATTATCCTTTGTCGATGATTTTTTTTTACAACTTTAATGAGACTCAGCGAAAGATTTTCATATTCACTAATCCTATTCGGCTTTGAAAAACCTAAATAACATAAATGTAAGCTCTACAAGTTTTATTGATTTTATCTAAATATTAGGATTTGTAATTATTTTCTTTTTCTTTTTTGTTTTGTTCTTTTCTTTCAATAACATGGACGAGAATTTGAACCATAGACCAATTCATGTCATATATGAAAAAATGCTGAGTTTGATTTTTTCATAAATGTTATTTAATAGATAAAATATTTGGTGGATGAGCCATAATTTAGTTGATATTCCTAAAAACTATGAAAATTATACTACGAATAAGAAAAAAATTAAGAAAAAGCAAGTAGTGCTACTCTAAGTGATCAGTAACAATGTTAATACTTTACTTTGGTTAATAATATTTTATATTGTTAATCCCTCATTTTGATCTCTACAACCGTTCATCAGGGAAACATTACTGAATTACTACTCCAATATGAAGTAGTAGCTACGATATAGGGAATTGTTGGCTACTGATACTGATTTTTCTTAACATTGCTACTGACGTTCCTAGCTACGATTAATTCTTGGTGGAGGCTGGCCCCCAGTCCCGCTGCTCATTATGATAGGTTCGGGCGGTGGGGTCTCCCTGTACCTTCCAAAAAGTGTACCAATACAATCAAATAAACCCCCACTTTGTGTTTCTATCTGAAACCAAGTCCCAAAAAGATGGCTTGGAGTTTGTGAAACGGCAGCTTGGTTATTATGGTTGTGTTTCAGTTGACTGCAAGGGTAAAAGTGGCGGGTTGGCTTTGCTTTGGGAGCGTGATTTTGATTTCCGTCTTATCTCCTTTTCGTCGGTCACATATTGATGGGTTAGTCTCTAATGGGATTGTGTAGTGGCGTCTCACTAGTTTCTATGGTAATACGATGGAATATTGTCGCTCTTCTACTTGGACTTTGCTGAAGCATTTACAAGGTAGTGATGCAGTCCCTTGGTTAATTCGGGGTGACTTCAACGAGATTCTTAATCTGCACGAGAACTGTGGGGGAAGGCCAAAATCTGATGGTGCAATCCATGCCTTTTGTTGTACTGTTGATGAGTGTGGCCGGCTGGATATAGGCTAGGGATCGCTTTACGTGAATAAACCGTTGAGACGGGGGGCGATACCATTTTGGACAGGCTCGATTGCTATTTATATAATACGACTTGGCGTAATTTATTCCTTAGCAGCTCGATTCACCATCTGGCCTATTACTTGTCGGACCAGCGACCTGTGGCTGTTCATTTTGGGGTTGGTCCGGCCCCTTTTGAGCATTCCAGGGTAATATTTCTCGCTTTGAGGAAGTGTGGTTGTAGCATTCCGATAGTATCAACATTGTGGCATCATCCTGGAACTCTGGGTCTTCTATAGTGGACCCTACTTATCTTGCGAAGGAAGTGAAAACTTGTACGACTGCTTTTGTGTTAGTAGGTTAGATAAAAAACAGGGGTTATAGTTGGTGCATCCATACGGCTTCGTCCCAGTTTCAGGAAGCAATCCGTAATACTTCTTATGGGGGCTCTAAGGAAGCAGTTTTGTTAGCCGAGACGTCCCTTGAGAATCTACTTATAGAGGAGGAGATTTAACGGTCCGTGGAGTGTTGGGTTAGCTGGGGGATAAAAACACGAAGTGGTTCCATAATTGTGATTCTTGTCGTAAACGGGTGAATTTTATTGATGGTTTGGAGGATGCGTATGGTGTATGAGTGCAGGAGAGTGAGGGCCTCCAAGATCTCGTCTTTGATTATTTTTCTAATATTTTCTCCTCATCCTCCCCTCCGTCCAGATTATCCATCGTGTAATGAAAGATGTTGATAGGAAAGCTAGTTATGATATGAACCCGCGTTTGCTCCAAAAATTTACGGAAGATGATATTGTGGCGGCTCTCAAACAGATCCATCTAAATAAAGCTCTAGGTCCCGACGGACTCCCCAACTTATTTTACCCATAGTTTTGGGATGTGGTGGGTCCCGATGTAACTCAGTGTTGTCTCAAGGTGTTGAATGGACAGGTTTCTCCGCGGGATCTCAACCAGACTCTCATTACGTTGATTCCAAAGATCAAGGAACCACAACCTATATCTGATCATCGGCCCATTTCCCTATGCAATGTGGGTTATAAATTGATTTTTAAAGTCTTGGTGAATGGCATGAAATTTATTTTGAATGATGTTATCTCTCCTAATCAAAGTGCCTTTATTCCTATTCGATGTGTGGTTGATAATACGATCTTAGGCTATAAATGTATTAATTCGCTAAAACGGAAAACGTCTGGGAAGAATGGTTGGTCTGCCCTTAAGCTGGACATGAGGAAAGCTTACGATAGAGTAGAATGAGTTTTTTTGGAAAATATTATGTTGAAGCTGAGGTTTGCCTCGAACTGGGTGAATTTGATCATGGGGTGTATCTCGTCTGTTTCGTATTCTTTTAACATTAATGGTAACAAAGTACGATGTGTTAGATCGAGTCGTGGGCTTCGGCGGGGGGATTTTCTTTCCCCGTGTTTTTTCTGTTGTGTGCGCACGATCTCTCCTGCTTCTTATCTGGGGTGATTCTCGAAGGTCCCTTTCGAACCTTTTTATCACGATTGGGTCCACCACTCTCTCATTTTTTTTTTTTGTGCTGATGATAGCTTATTATTTTTTAAAGCTTCCAAAAGGAGGGTCGTATGGTGTTGGAGTTGCTTTCTTTATATGAGTAAGCCTTGGGGCAGACGATTAATTTTGACAAATCTATGATATCTTTTAGTCGGAACACTTCTGATGATTTACAGGTTTTTATTAGTGACTTACTTCAGGTGCAACGAGTAGCCTACCACCCCCAGTATGTGAGTTTACCTACCTTTATGCCCCGTAATAACCGTAGTCATTTGCAGTTCTTAAGGATCGGATCTGGAAACAACTCCAAAGGTGGATGGGAAACTATGCTCTGTGGGCGGAAAGGAAGTCCTTCTTAAGTCAGTCACACACTTAAATTTATAGTTTAAAATTATATTTATTATTTTATCAGACAATTTCATTTTTCTTACACTCTACCATGGTTATATTTACATCATTCGTTTCTGTAAGATGATTATATGATATGTATCGGAATGTATAAAAGAACAAACTATATATATACCAATTACATTTATAATATGTATTGTATATCACATTTTTACATACTGTGATTATATGATTACTATTTGTAATGTTACTGTATTGTATGATGATCAAACTTCATATGATTAGAGCAATATTATTGATTTTTCTTTATCTTGGATGTAATATATCTGGATATAGGCATATCTGTAATTTGGTAGTTATCCCCCTTTTTAAAGGTATCCATTTCTTGGGTGGGGGCTTTCTTACTATAATATTTCAAGACGTCTCATGTCCCTCCTTCCACTCTCGCAAAAGGGATGGAGTGCTCTGCTCACTCTTAAAGAAATTAGAAGGATCAACTTTAGTTTTTACCTTCACCAATCTTTTAAAATTACCCTTGAAGTATTTAACTCCCCATATGCTTGCTTTTTCATAACTCGTGTACCCATTTTTGTTGTTTGTTCCAATATCTAGGTCTCGGTAATTTAAATACGTAGCCCTTGGATTTTTTGAAACACATGAAGTCATATAACTGTAAAGCTGACGAATCCAACTTATATGTCTTTCTTCATTTTCTTCGCTTTCTGTCCAAGACACCACATAATGAATCATGTAAAGGTTTCCAGCTCTATGTGGAAAGGGAGTCTGATTCAGAAATCTCATTCCTTTTTTCACCGTAAGGGATAAGATATATTCGTACAAATTCAACTTCTTCATCGATGAGCAATTTCCATAAATCCTCAAGGCGAGCTTTAGGGATTGGCTTATTTATATAGTCGGAATTGCCTTTGAAGATGCCTTTGGAGAGCATAATTCCTATTGAGAAGAGAATTTAATGGCTGCTCACTTGGGAAGTCGGAAAAATGGAGAACGGATTCAATCCAACTCATTTCTACACAGTTTTCATTGGTTATCCATAGCTCAGGAAATGACTTATGCAAAATGGGAAGAAGCTCTCGGCTTTCTCGAGGAACAAAGAGTTGAAATTTACTTGCATTTTTCCTTTTCCATTTTGATGATTGTTTGAGTTCACGACACCTCAACCCTAATGATGAGTCTGTCATCTTGTTTGTTGGCCACATATTGCCACTGGTAGACTAGATTGGTGGCATTTTGTTTCAAGTTTCTAGTGATTGAGAAAATAGTCACCACTGGTGGAATTGGGACGAGTTTTATTTTCCATGCAAGGATAATTCCAAAGTTTGCTCCTCCGCCTCTAATAGCCGAAAACAAATCCTCTCCCATCGATTTTCGATTGTGGAGCTTACCATTGACATCAATGAAGTTAGTGTCAATCACATTATCGGCAATGAGGCGAAATTTTCGAAGCATCAAACCATAGCCACCACCACTGAAGTGCCCACCAACACCGACTGTTGAGCAAAGCCTAACTGGGAATCCTAGGATTTTACTTTTCTCTCCAATCCTAGTAGAGTTCGCCGATGGTGGCTCTGGATTGCACCCATGCAACATTTTGTTCCACATCAACATCAATCGATCGAATGTTACTTAAATCAATGACAACAAAAGGAACGTCAGAGCCATAGGAAAAACCCTCGTAGTCATGGCCACCACTTCGTGTTCGTATCTGGAAGCCCTTTTTTTTGGCACAAATGATGGATGCTTGAATGTGGGAAACTTGCAACGGCATCACGATTGCTCGAGGCTTTGGGATTTTGACACCCACAAACCTTCAGTTTTGAATGGAGAAGTTCAAAACTGAAGAATATGAAATATCGATTTGAGTGTAAGTAATCTTTGAAATTGAAGAGTCGTTAGGGAAATGAAAAGAAATACCATCAATAAAATCTTCACCATCATAAGCATAAGCTTCCGATGCAAACAACAAAACAACAAAAATGTAAGCTACCGATGCAAACAACAAAACAACAAAAATGTAAGCTAAGGAGGTGATGGGAGACTTCATGTTTGGTTTTGTGTTTTGGCAATGGATTAAAGCTTCAATTTATAGTGTAAATGAGGCAGCTCTCTCTTTTTGGGATTGTGAGAGACATTTTGAAGGGTTTTGGGGTGAACCAGAAAGCTTTTTAATTGGCCAGAGCCTTTGTGTGTATGCATGCACACATTTTAGAAACTTTTTAAATTCAAGTTGATTCGCGTGTTCCCTGATCTCCCTCCCCACGTGATTCACGAAATAGCTATTCTACTATTTCTAACGTGGTAAAAAACTAGTATCTATTGAGAGGGAGAAAGATGGACTTCAAATTTAACATGGTAAAAAACTAGTATCTATTAAGAGGGAGAAAGATGGACTTCAAATTTGCCTTTCTCTAATATGAAATTTGAAATATATTAGTTCCTTCACTCGATTCTTGGCATATCAACTTGAATTTAGCTCAACTAGTTAAATCACTTATTTCTCATTATAAAATCGTGAGTTTGAATTACCGCTCATATATATTGTTGTATAAAAGAAAATGTGATTCATTACGTGACAACTTAAACATAATTCAATTATTAAGACATGTATTTCTGACTAATTCCTATCATTATAATCTCGGACTAATTCAATAAAATATATATTAATTATTTAAAAATATAATGGAAGACGGGACATGGTGAAAAATTCATTAATTGTTATTAAAGTAGGGACTCAACCTTACCAGAATTTTTGTTGCCTCTACTGTAGAGACATGAAAATAAAAGTTTAGAGCCTGGAAAAAAAATTTTTGAAACAAAAATTTGAGAGAGAGTAAATTTTAGAGGCTTGGTTAGAAAAACAAATTAGTCAAAGAATTAAAAAATGAAACAGTCCTAAATAACTAAAACTCAAATTTACAATTTTTTTTGGTCATATTTACAAACTCCAAAAGTTGTTGCTGACGAATAATTTTGCTTTTCATTACAAATTATCTATTCTTAATCTTTATCATTAATACTCTTAAACTAAAATACTCAAGTTGATTGAAATTTACAATAACACCCACAAATGAAACACCATAATTAACTGTGTTAATAATTAAAATAAATTAATTGTTATCAAGATGCTTGATAAATGCGAGTGGTTGATTTATTTTTAGGGAAAAAAAATACACTTTTAGTCCTTTAGATTTGAACTAAGTGTTTATTTGATCTCTAAAATTTTAAAATAGACATTTTTAATCTTTGAAGTTTGATAAATTGTTTTACGAGGTCTCTAAATTTATTTGACAGTTAGTTGACTAACGAAAAGTTGACATGTCAGAGTACTTGCTAAATAAATTTGCTAACTTGGTCAACTGTATTAACTTTACATTATTTTTGGGTGATTCGACTATGTAACATTGTCAACCTCCTTCCTCTTTTCTTTCTTGTCTTTTTTGTTTTCTTCCTTTATTCATCAGCTTCTGTGCACATGGAAAATTAACAAATACAAGCTACAAATGGACTAGGTTTGTGCATTTGACACTCTATAGTCTTTCATCCTTTTCTACCCCTCGAATTATATTTTTCATCTAAATAATTTGCTTCGTGTCCCTGCTGTCACTAAGATAATCTTATTTGTGTTTCCCAATGTGCAAGAGATAATAAAGTTTTCCTTAAATTTCACCCTTTATTTTRCCTTGTGAAGGATAAAATTACTGGCATTGTCCTACTCCAGGGGACAATTTGTAATGGTCTATATAACTTCAAGCTGAACAAATACACTCTCATCTCTATAGGCAACGCCAATTCCGCATCACAATAAGTCCTAAATGCTATAAATCACTCCTCCCCATCTTTCCCTTCGGTAAGTCTATGTCTATTCCAGATTTGTAGCATTGGAGGTTGGGTCACCCATCTCCTTTGATTGTAAACCAAGTTATCCAACAATATTCTGTGTTTAGCTTAAATAAAAATTTCACATTTTGCAATGTACGTGCTACTGGTAAAAGTCATGCTTTACCTATTACACTTTACCATCAACTTCGTACACAACCCATTATAACTCATTGTTTATGATTTATAGGGGCCGACACATAAACTTTGTAGATGTTTACTCTTGCTACTCTTGGACTTATTTTCTTCCTAATAAGTCAGAAGCATTTCAAGCTTTTCTTACCTTTAAACTTCATGTTGAGTAACTTTTTGGTACCTCAATTATTGGCTTTCAATGTGATGGTGGAGGTTCACCCCTTTTTTAAAAGCACATGGTATTGAACACTGGTTCTCCTGTCCATATTCTTCTCAGCAAAACGGAATCATAGAACAAAAACACAGACATACAGTTGAAATCGGCCTTACATCAGGGCCGACTTAAGGTATAGGCGAGTGAAGTAATTGCCTAAGGTCCACAATCCTAGAAGGCCTCGTATTTTTCATATATTAGTATAATATAATATAATATAATATTCTTATCTATTTATTCAAGTTTTTACCTGTAAATGTACTTTTGAATATAAAATAATATATTTTCAATGGATTTAATATTGAAAATACAAACTAATAATAAGTATGTAACAACCGAAAAAATATATAAATATATATATATTTAAATTATTATTTTTTTAGTTGTTTTCTTTAATTTTCTCAAAGATAAACCTTTTTGTTTTAGAAATTATTTTTAAAAGATAATTTGTTCTTAGAATTTAAAAAATAAAAAAAGTAAGAGTTTTATTAAATCTTCATCTTTTTATGTTAATAATTCATTAGGGTTTATTATAAAAACCCTTCAACCCTAGGTTTTATTTTTCTTAAACTGTTAGACCTAGTTTTCTCTACAAGAGAAAAAGAAAATGAAAGAAGAATAATTTTGGTATTTTCTTTCGAATATCGGTAAGTTTTTTTCTTCCTCATTATTTTAGTTTTATTTTTCTTGATTTGTAGTTCTTTAATTCAGTTTATTGGGAAAAGTTTTGAGGTTTTTTTTTGGAATAAAAGATTTTAAGGACTTTTTACCCTAAAAATTTTCCAGAATTTTTGGTTTGAATATTTTTGTTTATGAGACTGTTTTTTTGGGTTATTTTGGGACACTTTTTGCATAAAAAGTTTACCTATTTGTATCCGATAAACTATAGTTTATTGTTCTGATTTTTACATGAAAAATTATATGTTTTTACCAAGTTTTAAAGGGTTTCTATACAGTTTTCAGATATGATTTTTCTATAAAAATCACTAAATTGTTGATTGTTTTATGGAAAATTCTCAATTGATTATAAGGCTTTAAAATTGTTTTGTTGAGAAACTTTTTGTAAATTTAGTCCATATTAATTTATACCGATTCTTGTAATTTTAAAGGTTGTTATTGTTGATTTTAGAGGCTTTTTAACCCAGTTTTCAGATCTGGTTTTGTAGTCCCAAATCTATACTTTCCTAATTATTTTGCATAAAAAAGTGTTTTGAATGGAAAAATTGGGTGATTAGATTTGGTTACTAATTGGTTGAATTTTAAATCCTTGAATAGGATTTAAAGATTGATTTTGGATATTGGTTGTTTATAGGCCTCTAAGTTGACAACTACCAAACAGGAAGTTAATAAGATTTGTAGGATTTCTAAAAGAGGTAGGTAATTTACCATATCCCTCCGAAAAGTATTGTAAGTGATTTATCGTATCGATTCGAAAAAAGTGTTGTAAGTGATTTTGGATAAGGGCTCTGTTTCCAAATTTTGTCTAAGGCCACATATCATCTCGAGATGCTCTTGCTTACACTTCTCTTTCATGCTTCTATCCGTTTAATGTTTTGGGATGATGTATTTTCCACTACTGTTTTCTTAATTAATAGACTTCATAATTAAACCTGTTTTGGATGGTTCTAAGTCACTTGGAGAGTCTTTTTAAATAGAAACCAACTTATTCCTCCCTAAAAGTATTTGGTTGTCTATGCTTCCCTTGTTTTCGATCCAATAATAATCACAGACCTGACTTTCATTGTGTTCCGTGTACTTTCTTGGGCTATAGTAATATTCACAAAGGTTTGAAGTGTCTTTCTTCAAATGGTCGCCTTTATATCTCTCAAAAGGTTACTTTTGATGAGACTTGTTTTTATCTTTCCTACAACACTATATCCTAAAACTTCTTCCTCCATTTCCTCCTCTGTAACCTCTTGTATTCCTTTACTTGTATCTTCCACTAACTCTTGCATGCTAGATGCACTTCCCCTGTGACTTCTACATTACCAATCACAATCTCCCATCTAATGTTTCCTTTCGCAATCATCTCCCCACCCCAAATTCTTCATCCTTCCCACAAAGGTATCTACTCTTGCTATTACTTGTATTAATGAACCAAGTCCTACTATCACTGAACCAAGCTCTACTGGTTATTCCCATTCTATGGTGACTCGGGCAAAAAATGATATTTTCAAGCATAAAGTTTTCTTAGTTGACTACACTGACACTGAACCATTTACAGTCACTAAGGCTTTGAAGCATGACCATTGGAGAAAAGCTATGCATGATGAGTATACATCTTTAGTGAATAACAGGACTTGAGAACTTGTGTCTCAACCTCCAGATACAAAAGTAATAGGTTGTAAATGGATATTCAAAATCAAAAGGACTTTAGATGGGTCAGTTACTCGTTACAAAGCCTGACTTGAAGCTAATGACTTCCATTAGACTGCAGACATATACTATACAGAGACATTTAGTCTTGTTGTGAATCCTATAACAATATGGGTTTTACTTACTTTTGCTATTGCTCGTGGATGGTTTATTCGACAAATTGATAT